GGATTAGAACAAAAAACACCTCAGCACATAATAAAACATCACAACAAAACTCAAGACTTGCACATGTGGGAGGGGGGAGGGTGTTGGGGAGTGAGGTGTCACAGCTCAGACACTGGGGGAGCACGCAGCCACGAGGCATCGTGGAAGAGCTGCAGGTCAGGAAAATAATCCTCAGCTTTCAAAGCCCTCATTCCTTTTGTTTTCTGTAAAAAAAGATGTGACCCCTTGAAAGGAATACCCACTCTGCGTTTTGTCCTGCCTATCTTCATCTTCACAGACACTGTCTTGCGTGTTTTATGTGCAGAGGTGGACTGGGGCAAAAAATCAGCCCTGGCATTTTTGGCCCAGACACAACATTATGGGTTAACTGAATCAAGCACTGATTTTTGAATGTAAGGACAAAAACTGACAGAAAGGTCAAATTCTTAGAAAGAAAAAAAACATTCAAAGCTATCTTCAGAGACCTATACAAACTTGTTGGCAAGTTGGAAAAAAATTGCAATGCAGTTGAGCAGACACACTATCTGCATATGCTCTGCTTTTGTTGCTGTAGTGACAACTATTGGACAGTAGGTTGTGTGCTCACCAAATTAAAAAGGCTCTTTTGCCCAAAAAGAAGCTGACAAAAGAAGCTAACAGCTCAAGACAACCTGATGAGACAGAAGAGAGGATGGAATAGAAAGAGGCAGGGACATTGATCAATGATTGGGCATGATCACACTGTCATGGACCACCACATAAGCACGCAATGTAAAATGTGGAAAAATCCTAAAGTTGCCAAATGCCTACGTCTGTTATGATAATGTGTCTCACTTTATCAGTAGAGCAGCTTTTTCAGTCGCTCACTCTTCTCAGCAAGTCTGTCTATCACTGCATCAGAGTCCAACATCATCAGAACATCTTTCTCTGTGGCTTCAACACAAAAACCTCCAGTTTGTCAGGTGAGAGGCTGCTCCTCAGTCGATTTTTTATGAATTTTAGGATGTTCACAAGCCACCTGGGTAAGTGATAGCATCAGGAAAATACTATACTATATCAGGTCAGCTGCTCTCTGCCTCAGGTGACACACAGATCTATTGTTGTCTCACTTACAGGCTCACTGTTGTGGGTAACAGTCTGCTGTGTCACCTGGTACCCAGGTCCTGTGAGCACCATCGCAGATGTAAAGTCCTGAGAGGAGAAGCACACTTAAGTTAATGGGATGTCTGAAACTATGCCCAGACTTCAGAAACTTGAATTCATTCCCTTGTCAAAACAATGTGGCTGTTGATCTTCTCCAGGATAAAGGCCGTGGTGAATCTGAACCTCTTGAGCTGGTGAGTCAGAACACTGTTGAGAGAGAAAACAGAGAGGAAGAGGAGATGGAGGGGAGAAGGTCACATCTCACAATGACAGAGGACATGGAATGAAACAAACTGATGGTGGTTTTAGCCTGTTTGTGATGATGTGATGTGTCTCACTTTGGCAGAGTCAGGAAGACAGCTGCTCAGTTGGCTTTCCAGCTCCACATTGGCACCGAAACTCCAACTGGCTGTTCTGCAGCAGGAAACAGCAGGGAGAAGTGTGCTTTAGTTGAAATCATTTGCAGATTTGATCAGATAAACGGTGACATACATGTTAATGCAGAGTGTAAAGCCGCACTTACCTTCAGGCTTTCCTGCTGGTTCTGGCTCACTGCCTGATCAGAGGGGAAGGTAGTTCTTCTCGCTAATGGACTGTTGACCACATCTGCAGAAGAAGGAAGGGACAATTCGGATGAAAACAAAGTACAAAACTTCCTGACAGACAGACACCCTGACTTTGAAATCAACAATGTCAAAACTGCAACCCTTTGAACTCAAAGCAGTTTTTGTGTATGTTTCCTACTTTCACATCTTTCCTCACTTTGGGCTCAGTTTTTCTCTGCAATATGAAGAGCTGCATCTCTGTGGAAACAACACAATCATGGCCAAAAGTACAGAGAACTCAAAAATGTCTTTCGGGCATGATACCATCGTTATACTGCCAGAAATCATTACTCAGTACAAAAACAAATCTGGATTCAAAACATTTTTCCAAGAGCCCACAGGTGCTGAACTGCAGAAGTGGTTACCCTACATACTTTAGATATTTAACTGCTTTCCTTTTTCATTTATTTCCATGCTTGTCTCCTTTCTGCTCTGTGTGAGCCCAGCCTGGCAGTACTTCTTTTACTTTCTACTGAGGTAAGCTCATCTCTGTGTTGACTGGCTTTACAATACACATTCTGTAAAATGCAAAACAACCACTTTCTATGATAAGGAGTTAAATAATTTGATCTTGGATTTTTTTTTTAGATGGTTTAGAACAAAATTCTTCAACTATGAGGTTGTAGAATACAGTGTGATTTTCTAACTCTGGACTAGAAGTCAAGTAAAGTATCTGAAGGAGCAAAAGTATTTTTACTCAAGTTTTAGGAGCTTTTCACTTTATGCCACTCTACACCTCTACTTTATTTCAGTAATATTACAGGAATGTTATTGCACTTGCACTGACTGTTTCTCACAGTTGTGGTTGGGAGCCACTTCTCATATTAACATTCTAGATGTCAGAAGGATTGCAACATCTGACCTAAATTTCAAGTTGTTTATAACTGTGTGGATGTGTTATCATTAAATCTTCATCGTTGACTCCCTCCTCAGCGTACACATGGAAGCGAGTAGTTAGCAGGGAGTATATAAGGACTCGTGTCTCACAGCTGCTTTATACTCACTTCATCATGGACAGAACTGTGCTCCTGTTGTGTCTGCAGGTTTTCCTGCTCATCACAGCCTTCACTTGTACAGATGCAGCCACTCTGGTGACAGAAGACCAGCAGCAACAGTCTCAGAATGTGGTAAGAAGATCCAGGAAGCAGCTTCAAACTGTGTGCTCTGTTTACTGTCGGTCTGAGTGTAGTGTGGGCTGTAGCAAAAATGCTGTGAGATGTTTCGCTGGGCAGTGGCAGAAAAAAACTGTTTATATCTGTTACTTCAGGAGCTGTACTAAAACAATAATGTAGAAATACTGCAAAAGTCCCAGTTAAGGTGCAAGTGTTTTGCAACACTGACACTTTAATGTGTGAGCAGCATTCTACTGCTGAAGGTGGTCAAGGTAGAGCTCATCTGAACTACTGAACAGAGTTAGATAGTTTATTCCAGTGGTTCTCACCAGAGAGACCATATAGAAATCTGAAAATTGATTAAGGTGAGTGTGGAACTACATAAATCTGACTTCACATTTCAGACCTTTCTCTTATGAAACATGGAAAAAAGAACAGTTTAAATGAAAGCATGTGAGAAGTTTACAGGTTCCGATTAGAAAAAATGAAGCTCACAGGTGTTTAAAATATGACAATAATAACAAACAGTGAAGTGTCATCAGGGCTGGAAAGCTTTAACGTTTAACAGCATTTTGCATTTTATGAGGTGATCAGATGTGTTTTTTTCTGACTAAACCTTGCAATAAAACATAGAACACATAATAAATATCAAGTAATAAAAGTTGAAAACAGACTGAAATTTTCTTAGAAATCTGCACTGGTTTGGGCTCACAGTACAGAGAATACAAGTGACTCTTTACATCCGTGTACATCAGAATATGGTGGCGTCTGTGTACCAATAAATAATGATTTTTTTGTCCTGGTTTTGTTAAAGCTGGAGGGAATAACTGAAGATGACAGAGAAAAGACTGGAGAAATAGCCAAGAGACGAGCATCCCACTGTAGCTGGAGACCAGGGGCATGTTCACTCATCTCCCGGGTAACAACACGTTTTTTTGAGTTTTTCTTTTTTGTCATTTACCCTACAGTAAATTGTTCATCACTCAAAAGATTGAGACCAGCCGATGCATTTATGAGTTTAAGTTAATACAACCCAGTAAGTAGGTGAGGTGTGAAATATCAGGGCTGTTGGAAATGTTTAGAGCGAGCCACACAGTCACTGCGTCACCTTTATTTCATCATCTGTGAACCGTGTTGAATTCAGCAGCTCCTCCTGACACTCTTTTCTCTCTGTGTTTACAGATGGCAACAGAAAGACCTCAGCTGACTGGTCCGAAAATACAATGAAACAATGTTATGATGCTGATGAGATCACATCTGTTATGAAGGACGGCTGAACAAAAAGCAAAACGATTTTTTTTTCTACTTTTTTTTGTCTGTGTCAGTGATCAGAAGGAAAAAGAGAACAGAAACCTCAAGACACACATGAAAACCAGCACTAACATCAACTTCTAAGAGCTGTTTTCTACAAGAGCTGTTATCTGGTGATACTAATCAAGCAGTGCACAAACTTTGTATCAAGAATACAAACTGTTTTTCTATGCAAACATCCTTTCTATTATATCTACAGGAAAAGTACCAGCTGACCACGCAGTATCATAGATTTCTGGTTATCATACAGAAAGTAGGCTTGGTGTGTTGTTGCCACAGTATATTGTGTTTTCGATATGTTTGATTTTACTACAGCGAGTTGAAGACTCTATTGCTTAATCAGCTTTTTGACACATCAAATAAAAAAAAGTGTTACTGGTAATTAAATTAAGGCTCATCCATCTTTTGTCCAGGTGAAGATGTGCAGTGTAGCAGGAGGCTGCAGCCATCACAACACATTCTAAAACAGTGCAAATACAGCGCCCTCCATAATTTTTGGAACCCCTGGTTAAGATGTGTTCGTTAGCTTCTAGTAAATTCAGTCTTTTTCTAAATAATATAGGACCACAATTCATTTGAGTTGAGTTGAAGGTTACATTATTCTACAATTTTCAGTGTGAGAGGATGCTTCTGCAATAAAAATTGAATTTATTTTAAGGCTTCTAAGACATCTTAAGAGTGCATCCACGATAGGACCAGGCGGGAGTGGCACAAGCCATCTCACCGATTTCAATGAAACTTTGCCAGTTTAAAGGGGTCCACCCAAAACTACTTCAGTCTAAGTTTAAGGAAATTTGGTCAAACTGGGGGGGATTTCACCACCCCTCCTTGTT